GACTTCGGTGCTTTGGATTATGAACAGTGGACTGCTTTAAGCACTGCTTAAGGGCCATGCTCGTAGGAACATGGAAGACAGAGGTACTAAGGTCATTTGAACTGCTGGGGGCTCACTTCAAGAGGTTTCAGAGAAGAATTTTACTATGTTGCCTACAGATCGTTCTTGTGATATTTTGGTGAAGAAGGCAGCTGTCTTTTGCCCTTGTCTGAAAAGTCTGCCTCAGGCTAAAGTGAAGAATTTTGAACTAATTCCATTGGCAGAGGAAATCTCAAAGCAGCCTAGTATAGGCGCTGTTGTGTGGTTTTTAGTGGTCACTCTAATGAAAATTAATAATGAAAAGGAGCAAGCTGAGCAGGGTAAATTACAAAATGTAAATTTTAAAGAAAAAAAGAGTACCAGGAAGTGGAATAAAGCTAACTGCTGTGTTCAAGGAGATAAAGGGAATGGTGACCTCAGGGCAAGACCCCACCCAGCTAAGTTTCCAATTTGTGAAAAGAAACTGAAGAAAAATTTGGGAGCAGGGTGTAGCGGGGCACACCTTTAATCCCAGCACGGAGGAGTCAGAAGCTGGCCGATCTCTGAGTTTGGTCTAAAGAGCAAGTTCAAAGACAGCCAAACTTAGACAGTGGAAAACAGAAAACAGGTGAAGATGGATTTGAAGGAGGGGGCCATGTTCCAGCCCCGGCACGCAGCAGAACTTGGCAGCTTCAGGCGTGTGATTCTGGCTTTAGAATTAAGGATAGAAGCTGGGCAGTGGTGGCGCACGCCTTTAATCCCAGCACTCGGGAGGCAGAGGCAGGCGGATCTCTGGGAGTTCGAGGCCAGCCTGGTCTATCTACAAGAGCTAGTTCCAGGACAGGCACCAAAGCTACAGAGAAACCCTGTCTCGAAAAACAAAAAAAAAAAAAAAAAAAAAAAAGAATTAAGGATAGAAGAAAGGAATTATGGAATAAAGCCACCAAGGCTAGGCATGTGTCAGGGGCATCCCTGGGAGGCCTAGTGGAGAGGCCACTGCACGAAGCTGTGAAGGTGAAGCCTGGACCGCTTGGAGAACCCAAGGTGTTAGAGATGCCAGAGCCATGGGACACCTGCCGAGGAGAGCTGCTAACGGGGAGTGGAAGCAGCCCAAGACAGAGAAGTGTGCTGCAGTCAACAAAGCTGACTGGAGCTGGAGATGTGGAGAGCGCTTTGACATCAGAGTTTGGAGTTTGCCCAGCTGGCTTTCGGTCTTACTTTGCTCCAGTATTTATTTCCTCGCTGTTAGTATTTTTCTTAAACAACCAACCTCTCCACCAACACAACTAATCCCCATCGGACCAAATTAAAAGATACCCAGGTTTAATGGGTGACAATACTCCTGGGTGGCCCCTGGGAAAACACAGAGAGGAAAAGGGGAGACCACGTGTTCATTCTCTGGGGGGGCAGTCTAAATAGCCTGTGGGAGTGGTCTTGACCCTCCCTGGGGAGGGGTCACCATTTGGTGGACTTTCTCGGAGGTGGAGTTTGGACTGAGGCAACTCCCAGGGGAGGGAGCTTGGAATGGAGTTTTCCACCCAACATTCCATAAATGGATACCAGGGGTTGGGGTAAAGCCCCCTAACTAACAATCCAGACTTTTTGTATAAAGGGGTGTTAGGGAGCTGAGGTGATGCTTTTGACCAAGCATTTCAGATTTTCTTTGGATAAAGGGGCGCAGACTCAAGTCTGGCTACTTCTTGCGGGCATGGCACAACATGGGAGAGGGGAGAGCTGGGAGTTGGTGGGCTCACACTCAGCAAGAGGTGTGCCTGGAGACACATCCAGTTTGCTGTCATCCTGGAGAGCTCAGGCAGCTGTTCCTTGAGGGAGACAAAAAAGCAGGTGGCTAGGAGAAAAAATACTGTTATTATTGGCCCTGTGAATGGGGTTAGTCATGGGAAATCATTAACTGTCAGAAAGAATGGGACAGAGAAGTGCCCTGGTTGTCGAGGAGAGGCTCGGGTGAATAGCTGAGACACAAGAGCAGATAAGACCAGATTTTAGTTGGTAGGTACCAGTGGTGAAGTCCCAGGAGCTGGTGCAGGTTTTGGCGTTGTCTGGAGGGCCCTTTGAAAGTTGGTCTTGGTCCAGACAGCAGGAGTGACCTGTAAAATGGGTAGGGTTAAAATAGGCTCTGGAGACTGTTAGTTTTTACCAGACCAGATTTCCTGATAAAGCAGCAAAACTTTTTTTTTTTTTGAACCTTTAGGTATCTGTAAGACATTCTCTTACAGGAACATTAAAGGGAATTTTAAAAGATACACCTGTTAGTCCTGGACTCTGAAGCCTTTTAAAGAAGTACACCTGTCTGTATTTAACAGGAAACTTAACAAATGAGACAATGAGCTACCAGTACCTCAAGTCATCAAATGCCATTAGCAGATCTGGGAGGGATAAATGAGCAGATATGAGACAGCTTTTTTAGCCACACAGGCAATCCCAAGTCTCTCCTTAGTCCTCGGAGAACACCAGCCTTAGAGGCAGTGCTTGCCAGTAGCTGCTGAGTATAAGAGGCCTGAAGATTTTCCTATGGTGGTGGGGGAGGATTTAGTCTGCCTGCCTCTGCAGGATGAGACATCAGATCCCCCAGGTGTAGCATCCAGGAAGCTGAAGGGGTGGAAGGCCGCATTTTGCTGTGTGGGTGGCTTTGCCATACCCAAAGGCAGGCCTCAAGGCGGAAGGTCTTTTGTAACCACGTGCGTCTTCTTGGAGGAGCTATAGGATGCTGTGGGAGCTGGCATGTCTCTGTGGTAGAAGCTCTTTTGTTAAATGCCATACCCTCAGATCTGTAAAGGCACTTGAGAATATTTAAACTAGACATATAAGCTAAATTTAGACATGTATTTTATCCAGCTAGTTACAGCTTACCAATGCTAGTAAATGTAAGAAGATTAAAAGGAATATTTTAATAAATCCAAGACTAATAGCACATGTGGGTACTCTTACCCAAGATAACAGTGAGGTCAAAATGGAGGTTACCCATGTGTTTGTATCTTTCTAGAGCCATTGTAATCTGGAGTTAAAAGTTTTACAGATCTTAAAACACACACACACAGAAATGAGACAAGCCTACTGTGGAAGCAAACACATATACACAGATAGACATAAAAGCATAGTATGGCCACAAGCAAACATACATATAGAGACATAAAGCAAGCGTACTGTGAAAACGAACACACGTAGTCACAGAGACATAAAGCAAGCCGACTGTGGAGACGCACCCCTGCCTGACTCGGCTGTGTGCCCCAAGCACCCTTCCCAGCTGCTGACAAAGCTGACCACCCCTTCCTTCACGGCCGCTTACCACCCAGCCCTGTTGGATCTCCCTAGTGTCTCACAGCCCATCTGCTCCATATTTCTGCCAAGAGTTTTGTAACTTCACCGTGGGCTGGTTCCTCTAAAGACACTCCAGATGGCGAATGCTTGTCTGCAGTATCAAAATGCCCCCACTGGACTGATGGGCAAAGCAGCTGGGCATCTCTGTCCACCCTGGCCCCGTCCCTGGAGAGAAAGGGGGTCCCAGTGTAGATACACTCCACACAGAGAAGGGTGCTGCCTCCGCTGACCCCACCCCCATGGACCTGTATGCTTACAGGATCTTTCTTGTGCCTGGATTCGTCTCTGCCAGTTCCTCATGAATCTGTCTGTTCAGCACACTTTACTGCCTGTGGTCTGCCCTCCCCCACGCTCCCACCAGCATAGGTTCTTCTGTAGGGCAATACTGAGGCTTATTTCTCTCGGTGTCCCCACCTCCACTGTCAGGGTGGCACTGCTGAATCCATTCTACGTTTCCTGTAGAAGCCAAGTGGGCGTAGCTTGTTCTCTCAAGAACCTTAAAAAGATTCAAGACTTACAGTTAAAGGAGGCCAGTGCTCTAGATGCTGGAGGCTGGGAGGCAGTGGGGGTGTTTTTTATCATCTTTCAAAAACATTTTACCTATTTTTATTTGATATGTATGTATATTCTGCCTGCCATGTACGTCTGTGCACCACATGCATGCAGTGCCCTCAGGGGCCAAAGGAGGGTGTCAGAACCTCTGGAACGGGAGTTATAGGTAGTTGTTAGCAGCCATGTGGGTGCTGAGAATTGATCCCAGGTCCTTGGCAAGAGCAGTGAATGTTCTGTCTGCTGAGCCATCTCCAACCAGGGTGTTTTTAAGGAGTGGGGAGACCGCCTTCAGGAGCAGCACCCCTCTGCAGTCAGCTTCAGGCTGAGGACCGAGTGGTTTAGTGTGGGGGAGGGGTCCAAAAAGGACCGTCATGTGGACGCCAGTGATCCAGGGTAGCTCTGCAGATAGGTGGAGATGGCACCAGTCACAATTATTTGTGAACTGGAAGAGGAAAATAGTTCATTTCAGATCAGCGCTGATGCGGTGAGAATACTGAGCCCAGCACAAAGCATCTGTTAAGGGATGCACAGAATGATCTTGAATCATTTACACATTTTTCTTTCACAAAAAAAAAAAAGGACCTTGAGTTTGAATCCTGCCAAAGCACTCACTTCTTTAAGCCAGGAATAAATCCTGGCCCAGATGTCCTTGTCCACAGGGATGGTTGATGGCACCATCTTTGTCCAAAGATGATAGGCCTGTTACGTATGCAAATTAATACTCATAAAAGAATTCAGGGAGCTCTTAGCCCAGGCATGTGTTCCTTTCGTCCACAGACCAGTGGCTCTCCAGCCTTACTGAGCTTTTGAAATCACCAAGGAGGCTTTTCCAAAACTTCTTATGTGTGTCTGCCTGAGTGTGTGTGTGTGTGCGTGCACATGTGTGCGTGCACATGTGTGCGTTTTTCTTCCCTTGTGAGTCTAATATGCAGCAGTTGTCAACCATTCCTCAGGCATTAATACATTTCACCCTCAGCGAGGCTTGGCCTGTAATTAGGAGTTAAGGCGTGTGACTGTGTAGATATGCTTAGATCATAATTTAATTTTTATTTTAACTTACTAATTTAGGATTTCTCATTTTACACACCCAGAACTGTTTCCAGGCACCTGGCCTCCTACCATGTCTGACCCCATCACACTGAATGTCGGGGGGAAGCTCTACACAACCTCCCTGGCCACGTTGACCAGCTTCCCCGACTCCATGCTGGGCGCCATGTTCAGCGGGAAGATACCCACCAAGAAGGACAGCCAGGGCAACTGCTTCATCGACCGCGATGGCAAAGTCTTTCGCTATATCCTCAACTTCCTGCGGACCTCCCACCTGGACCTGCCGGAGGACTTCCAGGAGATGGGCCTGCTCCGCAGGGAAGCTGACTTCTACCAGGTCCAGCCCCTGATCGAGGCCCTGCAGGAGAAAGAGGTGGAGCTCTCCAAGGCCGAGAAGAACGCCATGCTCAACATCACCCTGAAGCAGCGCGTGCAGACGGTCCACTTCACCGTGCGGGAGGCGCCGCAGATCTACAGCCTGTCGTCCTCCAGCATGGAGGTGTTCAACGCCAACATCTTCAGTACCTCCTGCCTCTTCCTCAAGCTCCTGGGCTCCAAGCTCTTCTACTGTTCCAATGGCAACCTCTCCTCCATCACCAGCCACTTGCAGGACCCCAACCACCTCACTCTGGACTGGGTGGCCAATGTGGAAGGCCTCCCAGAGGAAGAGTACACCAAGCAGAACCTCAAAAGGCTGTGGGTGGTGCCCGCCAACAAGCAGATCAACAGCTTCCAGGTCTTCGTGGAAGAGGTGCTGAAGATCGCCCTGAGCGATGGATTCTGCATCGACTCTTCCCATCCACACGCTCTGGACTTCATGAACAATAAGATCATCCGGTTGATACGGTACAGGTAGAAAGACCCCCTCCACACGGGGGAGAAGCCAGCCTGGCTTTGAGAAGGGTCTCACCAGGCACGAGGCGGGGACCTACACTAATCTGTATTAATTGCATAGCAGGGCTTGATCCGGCACGATGAAGTCCACCTTCGGGAATCCACCTTCGGGAATCCACGTGTCCTCCAAACGAAACCACCTCTTCTTGCTTATGTTGATCTGGCGGTGGGTAGTTTACAAGTGAGAAGTCAGCTGATGCACACAGGAGGCGCCCACAGAACTCTCTGGCTGGGACAAAGGAGGAGCAGTGGGCTGGGCTCATGGGTTCTCATACTCCAGTCAGTGCCTCGCTTCCCCATCTCCAGAGAGAGCCCTGGCTGCCGAGGGGGAGGGTGGGAACCAGAGGCTCCTTTGCATGTGCAAAGGACACAACGTGTGCAGCGACTCCCATCACACCTGCTCTTTGCCCTGGGGGGTGCGTCCAGGTACCAGGACACCTTTGCCCGTGTGTAGGTGGTGCGGTATGTTCCCAGAACCCTTTGTGATTCCACTCAGGGAGAAAGCTGAGCTGTGCTGTGGCCTAGAGGATGCCTGTCTAGGCTTCAGCTGGAGGGAACGGCCCTCCCAAAGATGCTGAATGAAGGGTTCTTGGCTTCAGAAACTGGTTGCTTTCCCTGCAAAGATGTGATAGTATTGGAGCCAGGATGATGAAAGACACGTCACGATCCTGCCTATTGCTTGACTTTCCTAGCCCTTTTCCCGTGAATTGGAAGCGTCACTCAACAGTTTAAACCAATATATTATGAACTCTCAGGGTTGGAAAATAATCCAGAAGCTTTTAGTTCTTCCCCTTCTCTAGGACACCCCAGTACATTTGGGGACGAGTGCCTCTCCTTGAGTACCTTCAAGGGATCACCTTTGCCAGCTTGCACACCCCTGGTGACAGAAAGCTCACTACCCAGGGCAACTTCTACCAAGGTTGAGCCCTGCTGGTTATCAGGAAGCTCTTTCAGTGTTGACAGTCTGTCCCGCTAGGTCTTCCTCTTCACACAGACGTACGTGCTTGATTTGACTAGACACTTTGACGATGCCATTACTCAGAACTCAGCCTCCCTTTGCAATTTGTCATTAGCAAAATTAGCTCCTTTCTATCCTTGTTCATGGCCCCCAGTTCATCAGCCTTCCCCACCAGCCATGGCTCTGCATGTTCCTGATCATGTCTGGCTGGAAGAAGACTGCTGACTGGGGAGATCTGGGGTTTGGGAACACTGTGTTCGGCAGGGAGTACAGCTCTGTACCACCAGAGTGCCCTGGAGTGAGTGTCCAGCCCCTACCACTCCTCCTAAGAAAGCAGCCTTCCCCGTCATAACTACCTGTGGGCCTCCCAGGGCCACATGAAGGGCTAGAAATGCCAGACTGCTACTCCCCAACAGGAGCCGCACATTGTGAGTCATCCCTGCTGGAGACACTCGCCAGACACAGCCAGGGAAGCCGGGAACAGGATCCAGGGGTGAACAGAGCAAAGGGTTTCCATGGTTACACCTTGTGCATGAGGCGTTTTCATAGTTATAGACAAAACCTGGTCCTGAGGCAACAAAGGCCTTTTCCCTGCCTTCAGCGAAGCCAGCGGGAGCCAGGAGTCTCCCTGTGGCTGTGGAGCCACTGCACCAGTGGTACTAGAAAGTTCTTCAGAGAACACAATCCGGACAACAGAAGCTGTGATCATGGTCAGATAAGTCAAGGGGGAAAAAAACCCTCCAAAATCAACACTGCCCCCCCCTTTTTTTTTTCTTCATCTGTTTGGTGCTTCCTAATTCAACAGCTTGACCTTAGAGCAAGGGCAGAGCCTGTGAAGACACTAACACACTACGTGACTCTGCAGGTCACTCGCCTCACTGAGCCACCTCCATTTCTTCATCTGCGAAATGGGCGTAGAGTAACACATAACCCTACCTACCTCACAGGACTGTTGTGAGGAGCACAGAAATAACGAATGTGAGAATAAACCGTACATGACAGTTACTTTGTGTCTGCTTCCAAAGGGGGACACCTCCGGTCTTAAATAAGATGGACCCGGGCTGGAACTAGCTCCACTGCTTACTGTTAGACCCCTGGCCCTGACTGAGTTCCTCTGATTTGTTTCCTCACTGTGTTAACACCTATGCCCCAAGTACCTTGAAAGAGTTGGTGGGAACTCCAGCCGGTCCTGGAACACAGCTCAGCCGATGCTGCTGCCTCTCAGTAGTTACTGGGGACCGCGGTGTAGGCAGTCAGCTAACCAGCCTGGAAACAGCTGCGCACCTGCCACGGGAATGTGTCGTAGCCTTATGGGTGGCGGAAAGTGGGTTAGCCCTTGATGGAATTGACAGGCGTGCACTGAGGGTCGGCAGGAGAGTGCTGAGGGCAGGTGGACCTCCCACATGGTCGCTGCCTGAGGGAGTGATGGGGACAGGCTCACAGGAGAGGTCAGCCAGCTACCCAGCGAAGGTGAGAGAGGAGGAGCCCGGAGCAGTGTGGGCGGAGTCATCGCCAAGGATTTGGGAGTGGGGCAGGAGCAGGGGTGGGCTGTTCTGAGCCCCTCACTCCCAGAGGGAGCTCACCCGCGGTCAGCTGAGCTCTACCGCTGCTGAGGCGGCAGCCCTGTCGGCTCTCTGTTCCCTTACGTGCAGCACACGGTCAGGAAAGGTGCCCATGGGAACTCTGAGGCACCTGGATGACCACTGCGTGAGGCCTGCCCCAGTGAAGGCCAGCAGCGGCTGCCTCCGAGGTACCATTCTGTCACCGGACACCCTCGGTGCGGCCCAGATTCGGCCATTTCCACAGTGTTTTATTAGGCACTGTGTGGCCTGAATCGCGGCATTTATTAGAATTTACCCAGTGCCAGCTTCCTTTCATGAATTATTCCCAACAGGCTCTGTGAAGGGGGTGTTAGCCAAGGTCAGCTCGTGGCCGGAGCGCCACCCCTCCCTCCCTGGACTGCAGTCCACAGTGACCATCTGTGTCTGCCTGGGCGTCCAGGGGCTCGGGGCTGGTGGCAGTGGTTGGCAGGGACACGAGACCCTGTAATCATTTCCCAGAGTGAAACAAAAAACCTTGACAACAGACCTATCAGAGGGAGAGACCAGGCTGGTTTCCAGGTCCCAAGAATTGGACTTTTAACAGCTCCATCTGCCCAGACAGCTGGGTGCCCTCAGTCTCCTTCAGAACCTCTGGGTCAGTGAAGCATGGCAGAGCAGCGGAGGTAGCCTGGTGACAGAGTCACCCTGAGGATCACTATGCACCCATAGCTCCCGGGTCCCACCTGAACCAAGGTGACCAAACAGCTCTGAAAGTGGTGCTGTCTGCCAGTCATGAGCAGTGAGTTTGAACCTCACATATCTGACCTTCGCCCCGCCCCCAGTGCCCAAGGCTACCATTTCCGGGTTAGCTGGTAGCCTAGAGTACTCTCTGTTATGTGAGTCCCCCGACACACACTCTGCCTTAGAAAGAGGACTGTAGAGGACGCTCTTGCCCTTCCTACCCTGAGAGCACAGGGAAAACATGGCCGTTTATGAGCAGGGAAGGAGCAGCTAGCTATACCTTGGATGATGAATTCCCCAAAGGCTAGCTTCCCAGGATGGAGGCTTTAAGAGATGAGTGGTGGGGGGTCCTTAGCTCACTGAAAATAACTGTGGGTCTATCTCCCTCTATTTGTCTGTCTGTATATCTTAGAGTATCTATTGCTGTGAAGAGACATCACGACCATGGCAACTCTTAAAAGGGAACACATTTAATTGGGGTTGGCTTACAGTTTAAAGGTTTAGTCCATTATCATCATGGCACAACATGGCGGCATGCAGGCAGACACGGTGCCGGAGAGGGAGCCGAGAGTTCTACATCTGGATCTGCAGCCAGCAGGAAGAGACAGTCACTAGGCCTGGCTTGAGCATCTGAAACCTCAAAGCCCACTGCCTTCCTCCAACAAGGCTATGCCACTCTCTGAGAACCTCTGGGAACCACCACCCCATCTTCTCTTTCTTCCTGACTTGGGGTGTGACTCTCCGCTCTGACATGTACTCCTCCCCTGATACAGTACCCTCACCACAGGCCCCACAGAAAAGGAAACTTTGAGACAAGAACTTGCTATGTAGCCCAAGCTAACCTCGAATTCAATAAAAGCCTCGGCTTGCTTCCCAGTGACAATCCCCCTGCCTTGGCATCCTGTGTGCCAGGATTATACAACTGTACCACCACATCCAGTCTAAAGAAACCTTATTATTGAGGGTTGAACCAGGGCTTCACACTTGCTAGGCAAACACCCTACCACTAGGCTATCTTTCTGACTACAAAACCTCTATCACAATCTCTCTTCATAAGAACTTACAGCAGATATTGTTTACCACCATGGAAAGCTGATGTAATAATTCGTAGTGTCTCAACAGGTATTTAATGAACTTGTACCTTGTTCTTGGACTTAGCAGCCTCCAAAACTGAGAAACCAATTTTTACCATTCATGGACTGTCTCAAGTACACACGAAGTACGCATAAAGCCCTAGATTCTATCCTCGGCACAAAAAAATTTTTTTTCTATTATTTATAAATCATTCTGTGTATTACATTCTCCCAACCAAACTCTGACATTTGAAAGCTCTGTTAAACAATATGCCAGTCCCAGAGATGGGCTCCATAAGTATAAAGTCCACACATCCATCCTTGGGAAGGCTGCTGAGACAGAGCCACAGGTAAACAGATATGGTGGCCAGTGCTTTGGTGGCTGCAGGTAGCATGGCCCTTACAGACAGGACAGCAAGCTTAGCGATGCCCCTGGGTGGATAAATCGCTTCACGGTCCACAAAGCACTTGACTTCTCTTTCCCAAGAGAAGCTGCACCAAAAGGGCTTTACTTCATAGATGAGGAAACTGAGGTACACGGAGGTGAAATGGCTTGCCTGTAAGTAGGGTGCCCCTCACATAATATGCTCCTAGCTGGGATTAAATTTAATTAAATAGCATTTAATTTAAGTGGCCAGGTTGGGGCAAAAATCGTCCTGGAAATTGATCTGACGCACTTGAAGGTTATGTCCAGTCAACTGAGGCCAAGGACAGAACAGGCTTGCAAGTGCCAGGACTCGGATCCAGACTTTTCCCCTGGTGTTCCAAATGACCTGAGCCTGAAAGCTTCCTCAGCAAACTGCAACATTACGAGCCTGCTCTTCCAGTGAAAAGTCTTTTTCTAGCCAGAGCTGGAAGGGAAGATCACCTGCTTGCCCATGGAAGCATGCCAGCAGAGCCCAGACAATCCACGTTTAGTCTCTGTCAGGCTGGAGGCTGGCCTCTTGTGTTCTCAGCCGCCCTTTCATCCTGTGGCTCGTACCTGTAACCAAGATGCTGCAAGGCTGATGGAGCCATCGGATGACTGCATTTTACGCCACCGTATTTCCCAGGGTGAAACGCCGAACTGCACTAAGTGCTACTAGGGAGGAGAAGCAGCCAGGCAAAATGGAGGTGAGGGGGGGGGGGGGTCACACCTGAACCCTCCCATAACTATAGTCAGGAGGCTTTTGTGAGGGTGTGGCTCAGTCTTCTGGAACCCGGTGCCCTCTGCCTCCTTAACAGGAAGCCAGTATAGACTCCCTGAATGCCTCCCACCAGCAGAACAGGTTCATCTTATTTGACCGATGACAAAGGCGAACCTACTGGGGATGACTAGAATGTGATATTCGTTGGCTATTTTTGGGCACAAAATTAAAAAAAAAAAACCATTATGTGGAAAGCAAACTTATGACAGGCCACTTAAGACAGAGAGCTGGCTTGACGTCAAGGAGAGGGAGTCTGCACCCGGCACCACTCACACCGGAGCCAGCGGCACTGGTTCCGTTTCTCGGTGACTGTGTGCGCAAATACGAAAGAAAATGCCCGCAGCCAGGAGGCTGAGAGAGGAAGATGGCGAGTCGAGGCCAGTCTGTGCCACACGGCCAGACCTCAAAAGAAAAAAGAAAAACAAACCCTTTTATCTACTTCAGTGACGCTAGAACGAGAGGAGGAAAAGCTGCCAGGCGTGTGGCCGCCTTCGCCCCAAAAAGGGCAGAGCTTTCTTGAAACAGAGGCACCGCTATCCCTGCACCCCAGCACACTGCCCCCAGCTGTGGGGAGGCCCTCAGTTCACATTTGCTGAATGGGTAAATACATTCCACCGCTCAGTGCATGAGAAATGGCCTAGTCCAGGGCCAGGGAAGGAGGATCTGAGGCCAGGCTCCGGAACCCCCGGCACCCACTCCCTCCTCCCATGTTTGTGTACAAAGCCCTCTTCATACTTGGAAGCCTTTCTCTTTTCAACTCCTTGGTCAGTTAGTAATAGCTTTGAAACAAGAACCCAAACAAGCCATAGGTTCATTTCATAGGGCCCACTAAAACTCAGGTGGGGCATCAGCAATGGTTTTTGATGTCTTTTTCCGGCCACGAATGTGGATAGTTCTGCCGGTGATTGTCCCCAGTAAGTTTGACCCTTTACCAGTCTCCTCCTCTGCTCAACCTGATATGGAATAGCAGCAGAATCTTAGGCCCCAGCCAGATAACCCAACCTGCTCCCTCTCCGGTGGACCTTGCTGCCAAGACCCAGAAAACTGGATATATTATCTTTTGTCAATCCAACACATTTTTTTTCAAATGCCAGCATCAGTAAAGTCAGAATAAAATGTAGCAATTAGTAGTCCAATTGTCAGTTTCTATTCCTCTATGATAGAACATAAAATAAACTTGTGTCGGGGGCTGGAGAGATGGCTCAGTGGTTAAGAGCATTGCCTCATCTTCCAAAGGTCCTGAGTTCAATTCCCAGCAACCACATGGTGGCTCACAACCATCTGTAATGAGGTCTGGTGCCGTCTTTTGGCCTGTAGGCATACAGACAGACAGAATATTGTATACATAATAAATAAACAAACAAATAAATATTTAAAAAAATAAATAAATAAACTGTGTCTTGGAGTTATTGCTGATGAAGGGAAATCTGGCATGGGCGAGCTAGAACACAGTCTCT